CACAAGCTTTGTCAATGTGAAACGGATTGGCTGTAAATAATTATTCATTTTCTGATTAGGGACACTGTGTATGACTTATAATATTATAAATTGTATACTTGAATTAAATGCTAGTGTTGCTGCATATGCAACTCATTATTTTGTTGAGCTACCAATTATAATAGAAATGCTGTTGAGAGAAGTGAAAAGGGACTTGTTTGATTAATTACTAGTGACCAAAAGTGAAAGAAATGTTACCTTTGAATTTTTAGATGCATAGCATCAAGTTTATAACTGGTACTGTAGTATTGTAACCTATGATCAATTTGACTGCAAAAGGTTAGGATGTATCTGCAACAAAATGCCCAATATTTTATCTTATTTTTATTTTGTTTTTTTTTATTTTCTACACTATATTATTTACTTCATGAAACTTAGTAAAAGGGTTAATTTAGTTTATGAAAGCCCCCTGAACTTGTGGTGATTCGCACAAAAGCTTCCAAACATTGAAATTTTAGGAGGAAATCCATCAAAACTCGTCTCATTTGATGTATTAGAGAAGAAGATGGTGATTATTTTCTTTTTGGGGCTGCGATGAGAGGGTAGTGCTTTTCTTTTCGGTAATATTATTCATAGAGAAATGATTCAATTTATAAAGGATTTTCACCCACTCACCTCCACGGTTCCACCCCAAAATATCGGCCTCCCATAAAATCCAGTTAAGAGCCATTTAATAGCCCCAATTAAACCTCATTAAGGACATTTTAATTCTCCATTAATAGCCCACTTAACGATCATTATTCTCTGAATTTTAAGACATTTGTTATTTGCTCAATTATTTCTAACATCATCAACATCAACATGATTAACTTTAATGGATCGCATACTCCTCTGGTGGATAAAACCGGACAATTTTGGCAAGGACTCATGAAAAACTACTCTTGAAAGATGGGGTTATTTGTCGAAACAATATATTTTTATCATTTTGATTAAACTTTATAACTTGTTTGTGTTCTTATCAAAAGTTCGTGGTGTTTTGTGAAACCCGCCAGGAGTCTAGAGTTGTTTAGTGAAATTTTCTTCAGGAATCAGGAGTGATTATTGTGCATCTCATCCTAAAAAGTTCATGGATCGCAAGCTCAGGGGTTTTTGTGAAACCCCCTGAAGTCTAGAGTGGTTTAATGGAATTATCAAAGTTCATGGGGGTTCTCTGAATTTTGTCTTAGTAAAATCCTCTTCTTTCACCGGTGCAGAAAAAAATGCAGCGCAGGCTATTCACACAATTAAAAACGTGTAACTCCAAGTGAGATGATAAAAGCTACATTCAACTCAATCCTATTCATATCATTCAATGGTGGATGTTTTAGAGCATGTTTGAGAACTTTCAGATAATTTAGAGTGTTTGATTATTCTAGTGGATTATAATTGGATATTTTATTAAAGAAAAGGCAATTTAACATGTTTTACATATTTTATTTTCATCGGCAATTAATACATGTATAATGGCTATATAATTATGGCGAACGTTACCGTATTAATTACGGGTTTATTGCGTAACGGTCGACATTATGATGTACGTTACTGTATTGATTGCTAGGATTTGTAACGGCTCTCTAAGACCCCTATATAAGCAGCCCTTCACATTCTCGGAAAAACAACAAGAAAAACAACAAGTCTCTTCTCTCCTCTTCATATTATTTCTTCATAGTATTGGTTTTATTTTTGGGCAACTTTCTTCATCTGAGCAGAAGCTCTGTACTCTCGCTCAGGTATAGAGATCGGCCGATTCTGGGGTTTTTACCGCTAGGAGAGAGGGGATCATCTGTGCCAGGGCGATAGGCGGGTCCTTAATCTTCTAGGGCAGTGAATACACGACTGCTCCCGATCAGGCCAGATTTAATTGATTATTTTATTCAGATTTATTTCATGCTATAATCTTAATTATTTGATAAATTTCTAACATTTTTAATAGTAAATTGTTTGACAAATGGGTGGATAAAACCTATTATTATTGTCTGTATTTTGTAATTTTAGTGGATTATAATTCATTTTTAATAGAAAATTATTTGACAAATGGGTGAATTATAATCCATCATTATCGTCAAAATGATCAAAAGGACATGAGATTGGTCGTAAGTTTGAGGTTTTAATTTTGTGAAATCATTATCTTTTTCTTGATCAAAATTCATAGTTTACAAACCATGAAAAAATAAGCTGAATACACTATCAATTTTTTATGCATTATAAATCAAAATAACCTATTTGTCAACTATCTCAAAATGTCTTATAAGTCACTTGGACAATTCGCCAAAATACTCTTTAGAACTACCTTTCTATTTGGAAGCATGCAAATAAATATTCTTCTAGCTTTGGTATACAATATTTTCAAAACTGTAAGCACTTTCACTGTCTAAATATTACAGCATTATCCTAAGAATTTTTCACCCAATAGTTAAATAGCCAAAACTTTTGCCAAAAAAACCATGTTTATTCGACACTTTTTCTTTCCTTGAGATTGTGCATTAAGGTCATATTTGGTTATCTTCTTAAAATAATAGGAAACTATTTTCAAGCTTAAAAATGTATTTCCACGAGTTTCCAAGTGTTTTCTAGAAAATGTTTTCGACTTGAAACCTAAAGAGAAGTTGTCCGCTATAGAATTCGTTGTTTGGTTGATAATTAAAAAATAGAAAACTAGAATAAAGAAAGACAATCAATGGTCTTCCATTCAATTATTTAATTGACAAAATAATAACTTTCCACCCTATTTAATTGGCAAAATAAAAGTTTAGACTCGGGTTTCTTTAGAATAATGATGAAATGTGGCGTATCAAGAAACTCAAAGCCTCCTTTTCAAAGCGAAGCCAAACTAAGAAATAAAGAATAATTTGGGAAAAACTAATTGCTTTTAGCGGGTGTCAGAGAGTTTTCTTATTTTTTTTAGGGTTTCCAGCTCGAAACAAAGAGCCCATAAGGTTTGGTTTGATAGGAGAGGAGGTAGAGTAAGGTAAGAGATAAAAGCAAAAATACTTTTTGTAGGAGGTATTTTGAAGGGAATGTAATGTAGAGTAGTGTAAGATAAGGTAAAAATGAACTAGATGTTAAGAGAGAGAAACATCTCTCCGAATCGGAGAGATATTGTGAGATTGAGAACATTTACACTGTAATTACACATTTATCCTCACAAAATAATTACATAATTAAATATATGATCTCATCAAAACCCTAAATTTGAAACACACCCCCCCCCCTACCCTATTTAGGTATTTGGAATTAGACCCCAAAATTTGCAAACTTTGGAATTAGTCTCCTTTTCTTTCAATTTTTAAAATTATTATTCCTGAAAATCTTTACATAATTTTGAAGAAGTCCTACAAAATTTTGTATTTGAAATTAGTCCCCCAAATATTTCTACCTTCTTTCTTTTATTTATTTTCTCTTTTGTTTTAATAAATCAAATACAATCTTTATTAATATGATTTCAGAAATATTCTAACAAAATCGTATTATTGTATTTTAACTAACCCATTTTCTCACCTCCCATTCTCATCTCCTCTACCAAACAAGAAAAAGTCATATACATCCTCTCACTTTCCCTCCAACCAAATAAGACGCTCAAAAGGTATATACTTCTTTGTACTTCATTACGCATCACTCTATTTCACCTTCCCCTCAGGTAAGTGCTCTATCAGAATCCCACACTATGTGGGGTTCTGATAGCCACACAAGGAGAGCAATATATAATAGAACTGCCCCCTTGCTAATCTCAAAATAAGGCTCACAACCTCCCGCATGGTGCGAGAAATTCTGATAGAACAATTAATCTCTTCCCTTCTCATACCCCTAGCAAACTAAGCCTAAAAAGTTGGCATCATGCTACTGCGTTTGATTATTAAAGTATGTAAATTGTACGAGCTTTACCATGCTCGAACTCTCAAATAATCCCAAACCGCTGCTCTGTCCGCCCCTAATCCCACCCTAAAACCAAAAAAAACCAACCCGAAAAAAACCACTCCTTGCTCTCATTCTTTTAAGGGGCATTCTAGTAAATAAATTCAAGTCAAGGGCGAAAGCAGCGCTTATACAGTTTCTTTATGTCACCAGAGAGATCCTCTACCAGGAAGCTTGTAGAGCGCTTTCACTTAGGGGTGTAGGCTGTATAAAAATCACAATAGATAGCCGATCCCTATCAAGCCCTGATAATGGAAGTTACAATCAGACGATTTTCTAATCATTGCATCCGCAACTCTGCAACCGCTATAAACATGGCCTCATCTCTGAGATGATTGATCTTGATGGCTGTGACAACAGCGTAACTAATATTATATTAGCAACTATGAGAGATGCTGAGGAGCAGTGTAATGATTTCAGAAATAAAAAGGTTGGACTTAGTTGGTGAGTTGCTTGGCAGAGAGCTGTGGGCAAATATTCGTCCAGAAGACACTATGGATGTTGATTCCCGTCAAGCTCCAACAACGGAAGCTACAATCAAATAGCTTTCGCGCCGACAATCGAAAGCGGCAAATGGGAGACTTTTCATACAGATCGAGAAGAGTTACAATTCGACGACACTTCCGACAGCTGATGAAAACTCTATTCAGTGGCCTTCACAATCGATGGTGAGAGTTACAATCTGACGACTCTCATATCTTATAACAGGCAAAGATCAATAAGCAATGGCCTTTGCAATGTCATATTAGACGAGGTTGCAAGTCAACAACCTCTCTCAAACGCAGAAATTCACTTCTGCGTTTTTCAAATTTGAAACGCACATAACCTGTGCGTTCTCCAGCAACCATCTAACTCTGTAACGCAGAGTTGAAGCACAAAACGCACACGTAACGTGCGTTCTTCGACAGACTCAACTATGTGCCCCAAACTCTGGACGCAGAGTTGAACTTCAACGCACCAGCGACATGTGCGTTTCCAATTTCAGAGTGCATGCGGCCAGT